TATGTGTGTGGTAACATTAGACATACAAAGAAACATTTGGCATTCATTGATTGAGCAGTCAGTATTGCTTTCGGTGAAATTTTAAAAAATCTTTCTCTTAAGATAATTTTTCACTAAAATAGGTTTCTCAAATCCAGTAGCTGTTATCGCTCTTTACAGTATTGATTTTCCTTACTTGCCTTTTATTTGAAGTAGTGTATATTATGATTATGTCATTATTTTTTCTTAGACTTACATTTAATATCCATTTTATTGTGTTGGTACATAATTATCAGGTGGTTTTAAGCAATATTTAGTATTAAAACGCCCGATAATTATGCACCAGCCCAATAATTGTTGATAATGTCACGATAAAAAGATGTCGTTTCTGTTATTTGGCACAAGTTGTTTATAAAATTGTATCGCCAGTTCACAATTTGTCAAACAAGAATGATCTTTGCCACCCCTCCAGACTTCATTCGCTCTTAGAATGCGGTTTTATACAATTTAGATATTTCTGAACGGGTTTGGTGACATACCGATAACGATATGAAAGTCCCGATCTGATGAAGAAAAAAATGGAAAAGAAAAAAAAAAAAAACAGTAACAGAAAAGGAAAAAAGCAGAAAGGGAATAAAAAGTAAAAAAGCAGAAATGGAAAAAAAATGAAAAATCAGAAGAAAAAAGGAGCAAGAAAAAAACAGAAAATATAAAGGTGCAAAAAACCGAAAAGTAAAACAAAAAATGAAAATGTAACAAAGAGAAAAGGAAAAAAACAGAAAAGGTAAAACAACAGAAAAGGAAAAAAGATGGAAAAAGCACAAAACTGAAAAAAAAAGCTGAAAAAATCATAAATGTAAAACAAAAGAAAAAAGTAGAAAAGGAAATAGAAAGGAAAAAACAGAAAAGGGAAAAAGTCAAAAGGGACATAGGAAAAAAACGAAAAAGCAAAAAGGAAAAATAAGAAAAGTAAAAAGGCACTAAAAAAGGAGAAGAAAAAAGAACGGAAATCAGAAAAGGGAAAAGGAAAAAAATGAAATGAAAAAAGCGAAAAAAGGAGAAAAGGAAAAAAAAGTGAAAAGGAGAAGGGAAAAAGTTATAGAAAAATAGAAAAAGCACAAAAAGTAAAAAATGAAGAAAGATTGGAAAAAGCAGAAGACGAAGAAAAGAAAAAAAAAACAGAAAATGCAAAAAAAAAAAAAAAAACAATAAGGAAAAGCACAGATAAAGTAAAAAAAGAAAAGAAAACGTGAGAAAGGAAAATAAAAGAAAAAGATACAGAAAAGAAAAAAATGGAGAAAAGCAAAAAAGAAAAAAAGGGAAAAAGAGAGAAAAGTAAAAAAAAATGAGTAAAGTAAATAAAAGAAAAATGGAGAAATAGTCGGAAATGAAAACAGTAGAAAAGGAAGAGAAATGGCAAAAGGAGGAATGGAGAAAAAGGAAAAAGTCAAAAAATGGGGAAAAGAAAAAAATCTCAAAAAGGAAAAAGACTTAAAAAGAGGTACGCAGAAAAAGAAAAATGGCGAAAATGGAAAAAAGGAGAAAAAACAACAACAAAGAAATGAGAAAAAAAACGCAGTAAAATATAAAAACCAAGGAAATGGAAAAAAAACACATAAAGGAATTAGTCATAAAAATCGGTAAAAAGAAAAGAAAATCTCAGAAGATGGGGAAAAAATAAAAACTTAAAAAACAGAAAGGGAAAAATATGAATAAGTGTAAAAAGGGCAAAATTAAAAAAAACATGGAAAATGCAGAAAAAGACAAATGACGACAAAGCAGAAATGTCATAAAAGTAGAAAGACAAAAAGGAGTAAAAGACAAAATAGCAGAAACACAAAAAGAAGCAGCAGCAAAGATAAAAATAAGCATAAAAAGTAAAAAAAAACTTCAATAGTAGTAATAAGAAAAGGAAAAATGGAGAAAATGGAAAAAGGCCCAAAAAGCAGAAAAAACAACAACGCAGAAAGAGATCCAAGATAACAGAAAAAAAAACAAAAAGCAGAAAAACAAGACATAAAAACTGAAAAGAAATATGTCATCACAACCAGTTAGTAGAACATGATGAAAAAGGACAAGTACAAACAGAAAAAAGTAGAATCAGACAAAAAATGCAGAAACAGCAGAAAGCCAAAAAAGCAAAAAAGGACAAAAAGCAGAAAAACAAAAAAAAGATGAAAAAGGAAAATGACAAAAAGGCAGACAACAGAAAAGATAAAAATAGCAGAACAGCATAAAGATGAAAAAATATCAAAAAGGAAAAAAAAAAAAAAAAAGAAAAAAGACGAAAAAAAGCAGAAAGGAAATGACAAAGCAGAAGAATGAATAAGACAAAAAAGCAGAAAAACGAAAAATACATAAAAAAACAGAAAAAGGAAAACGTCATAAAAAGCGTTAAGCAGAAAATGGAAAAAATAAAAAACCAAAAAAATGACGACAAAGATAAAAAAGCAGAAAAGAAAAAAACACTTAAAGTGGTAAGCAGAAAAGAAATAATGAAGAAAATGGAAAAAAAAACAGAAAAAGACAAAAATGCAGAAAATAGCAAACTATTAAACAGTTAAAGACAAAAAAGCTAAAAAGTGGGAAAAAATAGGAAAAATCGGAAACTCAAAAAGTTAGAAAAATGAAAAGGACATAAAACACAGAAAAAGGAAGAAGACAATAAAAGAAAAAAAAACAACAGAGAAAAAAGCAGAAATGTAAAAAGGCATAAAAATCGGTAAGTAGAAAAATGCATAAAGATGGAAAAAAAAGCAGAAAGACAAAAAAAAAATGCAAAAAAAGAAAAAAGGCTAAATGGCAAAAAATGGAAAAGATAAAAGAAAGGGATAAAATGAAAAACTAGAAAAGGTAAAAAAGTTGAAAAAAAAAGGGGAAAAAGACAAAAACAAACAGAAAAAGTTAACAAAGTAGAGAATCAGGAAAATTAAAAAGACATAAAAAGCGGTAAGATTTTTAAGAAAAAAAGAAAAGGGAAAAGACGAAAAAGGTAAAAAAGGGAACAATGGAGAAAAGGAAAAAGAAGAAAAACTAAAAAAAAAAGGATAAAAGGAAAAATAGTAAAAAAAAAAAGTGAAACACAGAAAAGGAAAAAAATGGAAAAAGCAGAAAAGTAAAAAAGAGTAAAAATAGAAAATGATAAAAGCAGAAAAGGAAAATAAAAAAGGAAAAAAAGCTCTATTTCTTAGTATTCTATTTAGAATTTGGAAGGCATCTTTGGCTATTCCACTACGCCTTCGAATTTTATTGTCTCATTTTTCTGTCTTCTGTTAAAACACATCAAAGATATGTAAATTTGCGCATTTGTTTGATTTTAGTATCTCCACAATTTGGGTAATTCGCAATTTGGGCTGTTTCTTTTGCTAACGACCATGCATTCTATCTTTTTGCAGTTGATGTTCAATCCTCGCTTTCCTTCATCACTTTCTGTCGAAATTTTTGTGGCTTTCTTTCTGTGGCTTCTATCAACACTATGTCTTCCGCATAGCTTCTGTTGTTAAGAATGTGGCCACCAATAATGTTTCCTGGTAGGACTTCTAGTTCTCTCAGAATCGCCTCACTGTATACGTTGTCTTACATCCTATCCATATGAAGGCAGTTTGCTGCCAGTATAGGTTCTTGATTATTCTAGTAACCTTCCCAAATATATACGATTCTCGTAACCTTCTTTGGTGTGTGTCGTATCGTCGATTACCCCTTCCTCCTAATCCAATGTAATTTTCCGTACCTCCCACTCTAACTACTTCTCCACTAATTTTTGTTTGCTTTCTTATATCATTTTTCCCTTTCTCTCTTTTTTGTCACTCCCTGTTTACCTCATTTTCTTGTCTTTTTTTCTTGTAATATGACTACCACACACCTTTTCACTTATGATCGCTAAATCATTGACACAGCCGCATATAATGTGACAAAAATTACACACCAATTGCTGTTTTCCCCATATTTTTAAAGGGAGGTAATCTGGGTGATATGCTGTCAAATGGAAACCGTGGCGAAAGAACTGATTAATTCTCTACTTATCTAGCTTTCAAGCTGGAAGTCGACGGAAGCGAAAGCTATCAGAACATTTGTTTCATTCAAACAACACCAAATTTCATGGCGTGGAATACCTCTTCTATTTCTCAAGCTAAGAAAAAAATAATAACACTTCCGAGAATATGTTATCGAAATTAGATTCAAATATTATATTAAGAATAAATTCTATTCACTTTCCTTTTATATACTGTCTCACAATATACAAAAGACTTAGTTGACAGATCGTTACCTAATCATTTTCAAGAATTGGCCATTTTGACCTGGATCATCCTAATCACATAATGACCAGTATCAAAGAAGTGACATTTAATTGTTGCGAAATCCGCATAGTAATCTCAACAAACACCAGATTAAAGTCGCCTGCCCTTACGCCACTTTTAGCTAGATCTTCTCACGAATGTGCAATATCTGTTCAGATGACCATGTTGAAACATTGTGCCAGACAAAATATAACAGGCGTTTTCCGCAGAATGATGGTCAACAATCCCGTCTACTAAAAAAAACATCCTTGGCTGATTGTGTTCTACTCTCACTGGGTGCCACATTACTAAAGCCTTCTAACAGGATTAGCTCAGTTTAGCATATCGAAAGTCTCCTCGACGCGGTGTAACAGTAAGGAAGCTAAGAGTATATAGCATTACAACTAGTGAGTTCAAACCGCATGTGATGCCAAACGGCTGAGGCTTTATACCGGGATTCTTTCGATCGTACTTGATCATGTCTCTACAGATTCTGTTTTTGTGAATTGGCATGAACAGATAGTGGAATTTGTACCCGTTGTTTTCTCCACATTTTTTAAGTCAGTTTTTTTTCTTGGACTGCTTAAGGAACCCAGTCCACTTTGTTATTTAACCCAAATATTGGGGAGGGAGATAGAGGAGGACGCATGCCTTTCCTAATGACGTTTGTGTGAAAGCGAATGTAAAATACTTTGAACTCGAGCCGCTAATTCCACTTTCTCTGCCGATGCCCGTTACACTACACACACATCCATTGTACCAAGGTTAACTAAGGATAATCTATATTATAAAAGAAGAGCTGATCGCTTATTTAATTTGTGGCTTGACTATATATGTTCATGACCGGAATTCCATCACTGTGGACCGAGTTGCACTTAATCACCAAAGTTTTAATCTCTCTCGGCACTAAATAACGTAAGGAAATCCTGAATCAACTTGAATAATGCTTCTGTCTCTATGGCTCTCTGGCACAAACTACTTTGTTTTCACTCCAGGTCCCTTTGGCCTAAAATGGAAGTAACAAACACGTGAGATTACGGCTTAAAGAATTCGCCTTTTAATTGTACCTCTGAAGTAATCACTATCGCAATAATTAGCGTTATATCTAACCTTCTGTAGTGTCATATATAATCGCAACAGGATTGAATTTGACCAGTGAAAAGAAATTGCCGTCAAGCAAATACAAGATATGAACATAGAACGAGTAGAGAAACTTACTATAATAAAGAATTATTTGTGTTTTTCTTTTCTCTGGTTTCAGTCAGAGATGGTCAAAGCCAAACACTGCTAGAGTCAAAATGGTAAACAGAAGTTCAGTTTACACTACATTAAAAATGGTATAGATCCGGTTTATAATAGAGTAAAACAAAAGACAGAGGTTCCATTTACATTAGATTTGAAAATGTTGACAAAGGTTCAATCTGCATTTGATTCAAAAACGTAGCTTTGATTTATACCAGATTAGAAACGGCTAACTTAGTTCCGGTTTACAAAAAAAAAAAAGAAAAAAAATAGATATAAACTCGTTTTAACACAAGAGTAAAAAAAGGTAGATATAATTCTGGTTTGCATTAGATTTGAAAAAGCTAAACAGGTCAGGTTATCACTATACTCAAAAAAGTAGACATTACCTTATATATATATAAGGTAATGTCTACTTTTTTTACACGCCCAGTGACCGACAGTGACTCAATTCGCATTTGCGAAGAGTCTCGCTATATAGCTATAATAGTCACTGTTTACCAACCCACACCTCCTCCCTAGAGAGCTCAATTGAAATTAATTTTTCAGGAGCCAATATAACGTCATCCACAGACAGACTGTTTCGCTGTTTCACAGCTCATCAGTGTGGCTAGATATCCGATAGCCTCTAGCTAGGATCGAAACCCGACTGAATTGGTGCCAGTCGGAGATACTAACCTTCTAACATTAAGCCGTCGGCGCACGGTAGGGATGAAGGTGGATTTTAGCGTATTTATTTTTAGAAACACGCCCAGTGAACGACAGTGACTCAATTCGCATATATATATAAGGTATATTTTGAGTTAAAAGTGATCGATATCAAGGATATAGCGTATGTAAATGGCCTGCCTAATGATTGCATTTAAAGTTTAAACATACTATATATATATATATATATATATATATATATATATATATATATATATATATATATATATAATGGCGACTTAACTGGTGGTAATTTTCTCAAATATACAAAGGTAATCAATAACGATAGATAAAAAATATCATTTGACAAGGATGAAATATGAAATACTAATTTGGTGTCATCTGGAAGAAAATCATTTAAAACGAAGAAACCGACATTATCTTTGACCACTTGTTAACCAATTTCGTGAAATGGTCAGTAGATATTTGCCCATATGATCAGCGTCTTCGATTTGGATCTCTTCCATTCCTAGTCTGAGAAAGCGAAACTGTTTGAGTTTTTGTTCTCAGTGGATTTTACGTGATCAAAGCAGAAAGAGAAATGGCGGATTAAATTAAAGACGGCCTTCAAGCATAAACAACAAAGATATTCTGAGCTGAAACAATTTAAAATCTTGACGATTAATGTCCGTTATCAATCATTTTTTTTTTCTGTTTGCCGCTTCAGTTGTTCTCTGTATCAAGTCAGGCTATGCTAACAAAATATCCAGTCTAAATATTAGGTTAAAAAAAAAACAAACAAAAAAACGCAATAATGATTGAACAGGTTGTAAAAAGATTTGTAAAATCACGTTTTTAGTTGTTTATGTGCCATCTTTAAAGGGGAAGAGTTCTAAATATAAGAGATAGATCGTTTATAAATATAGACAGGGTAGACATAGGAATCAACACAATGCCATCTTTCTGCCAACCTTCGTCTGAACATCGCATTGAAGCCTATCTATCTATCTATCTATCTATCTATCTATGTTTGCTGAGCGAATAATGGACTTTTTTTTAATTCAACATTATTTTTTAATAACTTCAATAGGCTAATTGAACCTTATTTAATGTGCTGGTTTCCCGAATCTTATTGCTAAATCATACTCTGCTTAAATTAAGAAAAGAAAAGGGGTTCGATACCTGTCGGGAGGCATGAGTAAAATGACAAACATTCCTAAGAGGTACAAAGGATGGAGGCTTGCAACCACATCACTTTGAAACACCGGTTCCCTTACGACTAGAGAAGTTAAGCAACATCAAACCTGATCAGTATTTAGATGGGTGACCACTTGGGAATACCAGGTGCTGTAATCTTGGATGTGTAGGTGATGTAAAAGATAACGGCGGAGAGCCGAGTTCGAATTCCAGTTGTGTCCGTTATATTCACTGTAATTTTCCGTAACTACTTCTCTATTATTTTTGGTTTGTTTTCTTCCTAACATCATCTTCACCTTTAACTTTCGCTCTTTTTTTTTATTCATCACTCCTAGTTTATAGCATTTTCTTAACTTCTCTCGCCAGCCATGGGTTAATTAATAAGACTTGTATCACTAAAACAATTATCATCTCCAAATAAAATTTAAATAAATAAAATTGCATACTAGATATTTACATTTTGATATTAAATAACCAATAGTGTCTGAAGCCGATAAACAAAAACAGTCAACAATAAAGAATAGGAAGTTGTGTTGTGAAAATAAACGCCACATACAAGATACAAGCTTTCTGATACAATACATGGCTGGAATAACCATTATTTTATCACGAACAAATTTATATAACTTTTTCCTAGACTGGACGTTGGGAAATATAAGAAATGAATGGTGTCCTATGTCTGGTCTCACCGTTTGGTATTGTTCAGAGAGAGCATCAAGCAAACCATTTAGACGGCAAGTAGCGGCGTCATAGGGGTAAAGTGCTTGATCTTCACTTGTTTTACCAGATTCGTCGTCTCGATCCCTACGAAACTAGGGTTAGAACTGTTCTTCTTCGATTATCCATTACACCTTGAGACAGACATAGGGGAATACGCTCGGATAATTCAAAATACCAGATAACTGAATACTTAAATTATCGTCATGAAATGATATAGTAAATTTATTGTGAAAAAAAAAATGCGTCAATTTTTGTCGGATTCCGATTGACCTCGCGTTTTTCTTTGTCGTTAAAACTGAAACTGGATTAAAGTAAATGTATTTGATAGGGAACCTCAAACGATGGTAATTCATAGTGCCACGGACATTAATTTAAACCCTGGAGTCTATGTTTGATGGAACCACATTTCTGATTCTGTGAACTACACTTAATATCTCTAGGAGACAACATTCAACTAAATGACAGCTCTATGAACTCATCCTTAGTATTTCTACAATTTTACGCAGACGCAGAATGCGCATGGCAGGACACTGTCGGCGAGTGATTTAATGCTCTGGACACCTAGCCATGGAGCAAGACGGGTTGGAATCACCTACATTGACCAGAATGGCACCCTAATGACCTTCCGATCTATTCCAGGACCGTGATGATTGGCATGATAAACTCATGAATATCTGAGATAGCGCGACCGAATAATACAAAAATAATTTATTGAGACAGATTCTGTTTGAAGGTGAAAACAAAAATAACCATTTGTCAAACATAATCATTAATTCGGTGTTTGAAATTGAAATTTTGAATATTTAGTTTCCCAAACTCAAAACGCTTGAGATGAAACTTTAGATTGGTTTTAGTTCGGATAATTGAACAATGATCGTATGATTTCAATGTTTATTTCACAACCAGATAATGGAATCCGGAAAATCGAGGTACGGATGATTAATGAAGTAGTCTAAAATATGTTTTATATGGTCGAAATAGATATGTATTTCCTAATTATATCGAACGTCATAGGTTTGGATATCGATTTGTAGGCAAAAACTCAGAAAATGGTATGTCTTTTTCACATGTCCATGGGCTGTATACACCTGACATGTTCTTTGTTAATGTTGAAAATGAGTATAACATCGTTTTGTTCATACTTAAGTTCATCTTAGACTCCAAGTGGAACTCATATATACAATCAATTGCTAAAGAGGCTATAAAAATTGACATTTCCGCTATAGAAAATATATAAGTCCTTTTGCCATGCTCTATATTTACAAGAGACAAAAAAATGAGATATCACTGCTTTTCCCGGGCTTGAGATGCTCACTCTTCAATTTTCAGCTTTGACTGAGTTTAAAAGCGTTCACTAGTCCTTATGGATGATTAATTATTTTCCACTCTAGAGCCGCTTTCGAGCAGATAAAACGTCCGAAGACTTTTACTACTCTGTTGCTATTTCCATCGCAAATGTTCTAATGAGCCATATTTATTAGTTCCACCAATCCAGACCTTTGCCGCTAAAACCCGCCATGCTAAGTACGCAGGGTCGAATCATCCCCATTCCCTTCCCATTCCACTAATATGAAGGAAATTCTTCCCAAGCACCCCTAATTTGGGGAACAGACACTTGAAAAGAAGCGTCCCCAATCACTTTAATTTTAATCTTTTCAAGTCTAGCGTTAACCGCTATCTACTTCAAAAATGTAAACTCACTGTATTCAGTGGCTCTTATGCCTTGTATTAGGTGAACAACAGTGAAAAGAAAAACTTAATGGTAGTTCCGGAAAAGTCTCATCATCCACTTTTTGGTAAATTATTATGTAGGCACGCTGGAGTAATGTGCCTCGGTTTGGATTAAGGAATTTGGAGAACCGTTTGAATTCCAGTCAAGTTCCTTAAATTCACTTGCGTCCTAATAACCTTGGGAAAAGGTATGAATCCATCTCTTTCTTCCAGCGATGGGTAAATAGCAGGACAAATTGGCAACCAGTCTAGGAGAAGGAACTTCTGAATTAAAACCAGCCTGTATAGGGTTGGGCTCCCTGAGACTCTTGTCCAGGAAACACCACTGCCACTTTGGCTGCAGCAGCTGTGGTAGACCCCACGTCCCTAAGTGGTTAGTGGATTCGTGATCTTGTCATAAAAGTGGCGATGGAATAGAAGTTCATGCCTATCACGATACTATCACTGCTAAATGCAAATTAGTCAGACGGAATTCGAACGTTGTTTTTGTTTTCTCTATTGCACTGTCCAATACTTCCCATGTGAATTGAATTTGTGCATTCTCCGAGCAGTATCTGTGCGCATGCGTATGTGTGTGTATTTATATGCGATTTTTCATCCCGACTGATGATAATACCAAATATATTTCGAATTTCTTTACAGATAAAATTTAAAAAAAAAGGATAAAAACAAAATATTTAAAATAACACAAGAGAAAGCTGTCTCTTTTTTCTGCAGATGCTTTTTATGGGTAAATATTTTTTCTTCAAATCTTCTATTCTTAATCCGTAATGATGCGGTCAGTTTGATGTTTTGCTTCTTGGTACCAAGCACAGAAGTTTTCTGATTTATTTATTAACTTTCTATTTTTTTTTTTGCTAGCTAACTTTGTTGTTTGTATTTCATTTTCATTTCTTTCATTCTTTCGGGCTTTCTATCAAGCTTTTTAATTCTTTCTTTCTGCTTTCTTACTTTGATTGCATCGAATTTTCTTTCCTTCTTGAATTTGTTTCTTTCTTGCAATATTTCATGCTTTCTAAAAAAAATCTTTTTCTTTTCTTTTTCTCTTCTTTTTTAATCTTTAATTTTATTTGCTTTTCTCCGGCCACTTTTTTTTTCTTTATTCTGTTTCCTCAACTGAAAAATATTTTATTTTATTTCTCTTTAATTTTATCCAGATTTTAATTTTTTTTTAATCTTTAAATACCTTTATTCTTTCATGTTATTTCATTTTCTTTTATTTGGTTGCGTTTTTTTTTTACAATTACTTTATTTTATTCTCTTGCCCTTTTCTTTATCCAACTCCAAATCATTGTTTATTTTTATATTCCAGAGTTCAATGCTTACTCGTTTATATGTCAAATTCTTAAGGAAAAACTTTTCCGCAAAACTTTTGAAGAAAACTTTTGACAAATGTTTAGTTTGCCAAATTCGACATTGATTCAAAGTCATAAAATTATTGATATGTCTCATGTATCAATCTACGTAGCATGTTTAGCAAAGAAATCGTTAATTGTTTTTCGTGGCTGAAATCGTTAATTGTTTATCGTGGCTGAAATCGTTGTTTATCATGTCTGAAATATCATTATGATATACTTTGTGCATCTACTTTGATGTTTATGATGGAAAGCAAGATATCGTTATGATATGCAACGTATTAAGGCCGATCTTACATTTTTCATAGATATAATTCTTATATGGCAATAGTAATAATAGGCGTTTCCTTTTTTATCATTTCACATCAAGCAAGAAAATAATGCCAGTAAGACGTAAGGAGTTATTGAGTGTTGAAGAGAATTAGAAAACTTTTGTGAGGAGAAAGGACAATAAAATCGCAGGATGACGGGAGATGATTATTGATATTGCATTTTAGTTTTTGTTGCTGGCAGGGAATCATACAACCCGAAGGACGTTCCACAGGCAAGAAGTGAGAGAAAAGTAATTATTAGAATAGATTACAGTTACATTTAGCTAATGCAACAGTAAAATAATGAGACCTAGTAGCCAATCTAGCAGTACGCTTACATTCATGCGGTCGAGTTACCAAGGAGGAGAATACAACAACTGCCATGAAAATATTTATAGAGAAGAAAGAGAGACGCCACATCACGGCGGTGGGAAAGTGACTGAAGTCGAGATGCTAGGATAGGAACGATATTATGCACACTTCTTTAGATTCTGTTAAGCATTTTGATATATATCGCCAGAGCATCACAGTAGATATGACAGTAATATTCGATGCAAAGATGAATGGTAAATTTATAAATCTGCAAGGTGGATTCTGGCGGGAAAAAACGTTTGGCATGACACAGTAACACAAACTTAGCAATTGATTCAATCTTTTCCCTTCATGTCAATAGAAAACGTGAGACCAAAAAGGTGCACGGAGCCTGGAGGTTAGCATCAGTCATGCTGATGCAAGTCAAAAATGGTAACTTATGATGATTAAAAGATATCCGTTTCATTTTACGGGTGTTAAAATTTACAAGCCATTTCTTGCCCCAGTTAAAGAAAACATTCAGTATTCATTGACTGAGCAGCCAGTGATTTTTCAGCTGAAATTTAGAAAATCTTTCTCTTTAAACAATATTTGAGGAAAATAGGTTTATCAAGGCCACTAGCTGCTATCGCTTGTTCTAATATTAATGGGGAAATCCTTCCTAACCTCCTATTTGAATTATTATGGAACGTCAAGTTCTTGATTCCATCATTATTTTCTTTTCGAGC